TATTAAATAATGCTAATCTTGATTCCATTAAACCTGACAATGTAGCTAATAGCCCTGTAGGGCTTAATCATAGTACTAATATATCTAACTATACATTGCAGGGTACGGCTCCAAAGAAGGTGGCTACTCCAAATAAGAGCAATAATGCACCAAAGCCAGTTATCAAACTTCCATTCCCCAATCGTCACTTGAAAATAAATTTGGATAAGAAATTTGGTAAGTTCCTGGAGATGGTAAAAGACTTAAAGGTAACAGTTCCCTTCACTGAATTAATCACACAAATTCCTTCATATGCAAGATTTATGAAAGAAATATTGACAAGAAAAAGGTCTATTAGTGAGGTAGATACAGTAGCTTTCACTGCAGAGTGTAGTGCCGTACTTCAGAATAAATCTCCACCTAAATTAAAAGATCCGGGTAGTTTTTCTATCCCTTGTCATATAGGCAATCTAATATTGATAATGCATTGTGTGATTTGGGTGCTAGCGTTAGTGTTATGCCATTATCTGTGTGTTCCAAGTTGAATATGGGTAAATTAAAATCTACTAATATTACTCTACAAATGGCAGATCGTTCTTTCAAATACCCCTTAGGTGTTTTAGAGGATGTCCCCTTTAGAGTAGATAAATTTTATATGACAGTTGATTTTGTTGTTCTTGATATGGCTGAGGATATGCAAACCCCAATTATTTTGGGTAGACCATTCCTCAACACTGCAGGAGCAATCATAGATGTGAGAAGTGGCAAGTTAACTCTATCAGTAGGGGACGATAAAATTATTTTTAATCTTAATAATACCCCTAAAAGCCCCATGACAGAGGAGAAATGCTTTAGTGTTAATGTTGGGGTTTGGTGAGTCCGACTCAGCGAGGAAACAACCCCGACCCAAGGAACCACTCGCAATTAATAAAACCATAAAGCATAAATAAATAATCACAAGAAAGGAAGAACGAATCTTACCCTCGAAGCGAGCTTCGCCCTTACAAAAACGGGCTCTTACTTGAAAGCTTCGAGCACCACAAGCGCCGTGCCTCCAACGGTATCCACCCACAAAGGACGAACACGACTTTAAGGTCCGCTACCTTGAAGTTAGCAAGGTCCGACCAAAACCCGAGTGTTATATGAGTTTAAGAGAATTCCCAAAAATTATGGAATGCTCTTTTTAACTCCCACTCAAGCAAAGTATTCTCAAGCCATGCCATGACTATTTATAAGGAAGTATGCCTTGTGAATTTCACTCATCTTTTAATGTGGGACTTTTCACAAAAAGATCCCACATGGAAAGATTGGTGAATTCAACCCTTAGTTAAATAAACAAAGGAACAAGTAACAAGTGTCACATGGTTAGGTGTGGACCACTTTCTCACTTGGTCCCCAAGGCATTTCACATGCAATGTGAACTAACAATGTGTCACCCAACCTTGAGCCCCAAGTTGGGTTCGGTTGGCCCATTTTATTTTGGCCCGTGTCCATGACCCATCAACCCGGGTCCACGGCCATTGCCACATGTGTCGCAACCGTGGCGCGGCGCCACCATGGCGATGCCACGTGGCACGCTGCCAATGTGGCACGCTGCCACTTGGTGTGCTGCCACATGGCGTTTTGCCATGTGTGCTACCACGTGGCATGCTCCTATTGGGCATGCATTCCTATCCTTTCGCGTGGCTAGGATTCTACTTGTTACTTGATGCATTTTCCCGTCTCGCCAAATCCTAAATTTTGGCTTGACATTTGAGATTCTCCGACGCTCGGTTTCGACGCTCCAAGCTCGAAAATGTTTAACACTCGGGCGACGAATTAATTTCTTCCGAATTAATTCGTCGAGTTGGTTTGTATATTTTGCTTGGGTGTTACCCGAAGGGTTCAGTCAAGATTAAGCTGTAATATTAATTATATTAATATTACTGATCGGAAGCGGCCTCCACCCAGGCATTCCGATCACTTGACCTTACTGAATATATTAGCTTTCTAATAATTCTGAACCCGCTATCAGAATAATACACTTGTTCGAAGGACACCATTCCTTTCAATCTTCCACTTGTCCTTCCGGACAAGTGTGCATTTAGTGTATAGCCCTTATCCTATGTCTCTTCATGAACTACAGAGTAAGATTACTGGTCATCTCTGTTTCATCCAGAAGTGTTTTTCGAAATCCGAGTTTGACTGTCAATAAGCAGATGACTTCTAAAATCCATCTGAGCACGGCCATGCATTTTTCACAGTCTCGCTCTTTGAGAGGCCTTGTAAACAACAAGACATGTTCCCTATTGTTAGTAGGGGGACATTTCCAGTCTTATAATGTAGCTTCTCTTACTAAGAGGACTCACCCGCCTGATACCTGTCTTTATAATCCCCAGTTACGGCAGACGTTTGGCGGATACCAAAGCGGACCAGTACTCAAACAAGAGATCTCCCACTACTCATGGTCAAAGGAAAAGAGTTCCGATAGTAATAATGAGAAAATACTTATGAAGATTTTTTAAATCTCTTAAAGTATCCTCATAGGTTGATCCAGTATGGTTCTAAACCAATACATGTGCAAATGATTTATATCCTCATAGCACAAGAAACGGTGCTGTAAATCATACTACACACTAATCTCTGATGGTCATCAATCGTCCACAAAATATGACCTTGATTAGGGATAATTTTCGATTAAAATATTCAATGTTCACTTAATAGGTGTTTCTTTATCCAAGCCATTGACTTGATACCCTATTTTGAATATTTATTAAAATCGAATGGACTCATTATTTAATTCTAAACTACAATTAAATAGTTTTGTGGAATATTTAGAAATATTTTATTCCACTATGAAACTTCACAATGTTTCATCTTATGATAAATGGTTTTTCCCAAATGTTTTAAGAGTAGTACTCTTCATGAAACATTCATAAAAATCACACTCATATTTGATATGCTTGATTTCTTTCATGCAATTATGAATGTTGTCGTTCACTTATTGCATAGGTTTAGTTATAATTACTTTGCAAACCTTAGCATCTTCATTATCCACCATTTCCATAATAAGATGATAAAATTTTGAGAGTGTTAATGGATTACATGTGATAGGTCCTATTTTGCACATGTTTTAGGTGGGTATCTAAGTTCATTTGATTACAAAATTAGAGATCTTTAGTGCAAATTTGCATTATTTGCTTAAGTTGTGCTCTACTACTCTTCGTTTGTGTGTTTTGATGAATTTCAGGTGATTTATATGCAAATGGAGTATGGTTAGCTAATCTTGAGTATAATAATCATGGATTATGAAAACGTATTGCTTAAGAATATCAAATCATGTGTTCAAGACGAACTTGAGTGAAAATGAAGCAAAACGTTGATGAAATACTTGACAAATATGACACCTGTTCACTATTATGCTCATAACTTTTGATATACAAAATATAATGGAGTGATTCAAATTGCATTGTAAAGTAGACTTGAAGTCCTTTCCAACGATATATTACACGCCTCAAACGAAGCTCCGGATATGAAGTTATGACTGATTTAAGATGAGTTAAATACAAACTATTTGCTGCAGCCTCTACGTGCCCGATCGGGCATGGTCCGCCCGGTTGGACCGGGCACATAGGAGTTAGAAGATTTTTGGTATTTTCGAAGGTAGCAAGCAGTTTATGAAGACCGCCCCACGCGCCCGATCGGGCAAGGTCCGCCCGGTTGGATCGGGCACGTGGTGGAAGAAGTGCTACGAAAGAAAGCAACTCCGTACTCTCACCGCCCGATCGGGAGGTGCTTGCCCGGTTGGACCGGGCACAGTTATGCGACACTCCGTATTATTATTTTCTTATTTTTAGGTCATTAAGGGTATAAATACCCCTTGTAATCTTCATTAGAAAGGAGTTTTAATTTTTCCTTTAGTCCTCTTTCTCTCTCTAGAATTCTAATTTATCATTTTGAAGCAATTTTAATTCCTTGCACAAGATTTGAGCATTGTTCTTCAACAATTTAATTCCTTTCAATTGAAGAATCCTTGGTATTCACTTCTACTTCATTCTCTTTCAATTATAATTGCTTTTCAATTATGTTTTCCATATTTATGATTGTTATTGTTTCTTTCAATATGTGTGAGTAGATTTTCTATTCCAAGATCTAGGGTAGCTCAATTATGATTAATGCATGAATTAAAACTTTAAATTCTCTAATGACTTTTACAATTGCTATGATAATTTGATTGTGATTATGCCAATACTAGGTTAGACGTAATCTTAGTATTGTGATTATTCCATTGTTTCTATCACAACGTGAGTTGGATTTAAACGGATTTGAGTAGATCAATTTAGGGTTTGATTTTCAACATGAGAATAGTTGGGTTGATGATTGGGAAGTGAGAGTAATGTGTTTAATGTATCTAATATGCATGATACCATGAGAATAGGCTTGATTGTATGTTAGGGAAGCCATTGATACTCGAGAGAGGTCCTTGGTATTTATTAGGGTTTACTTTTCCCCGTTCAATTGGAATTGTATGTTAGGGGTAGAAATATAATTGCATCATTCGTAATTGTGGTGATACTTGATCTTGGATGTTTTAATTATTTGATTTCCTCATATTCTTTAGTTTATTTTCGAATTTTCCATACATTAGTTCTTTAGTTAATCGATCATTGTTGAATTCTGCTTAGTAATTACTTGAGTCTAAATAGTTATTGGTGAACCATAGGCTCTTGGGATTCGACCCTTACTTTCCAGTCTACATAGTAGTGGTTAGTTAGGTTATTTTTGCTAGGTACGCGACATGCCTATCAAATTTTGGCGTCGTTGCCGGGGACTAACGATTTTCATCTAATTATTTGTGATTCGTTTTTGCTAAGCTTATTTCGTTGCTTCGGCTATTCTCTCTTGTGTTTTTGATACTTTTTCTCTAGTTTTTCTTGTGCATGCCCACACGACGCTCAGGTTCAAAAGATCTTGAACCATTTGATTCTGAGATCGAGGCAACTATAAGAAGAAGGAGAACAAGAAATCGACGTAGGAGAAACATGGTAGACCAACCAACGAAATCCCTTTTGGAGTACGGTATTCCTGATACGACTACCAGAGTCCTTTCTAGCATCATAAGACCACCTGTAACAGCTCAGCACTTCGAGCTCAAGCCGCAATTCATCCAATTCATCTCCAATGATTCATTCGCAGGGCTACCACATGATTGCCCAGTAAATCATATTGATAGTTTCTTGGAGAAATGTGATACTATGAAAATGAATGGTGTTACAGATGATGCTATCAGACTTCGCCTTTTCCCTTTTTCACTACGGGATAGGGCGAAAGAGTGGTTGAGAGATGAAGGCACTGGCTTGTTCGATACATGGGACAAGCTAGTGAAGGCCTTCTTAGTGAAGTTTTTGGGACATGAGAAGACTGCCAAGTTGAGGAACGAGCTATCCACCTTCCGACAGTCAGATGACGAGTCTCTCTATGAGGCTTGGAGAAGGTTCAAGAGGTTACAGAGACAATGCCCTCATCACGGTATCCCAGAGTGGCTGTTGATTCAAACCTTCTATAATGGCCTAACCCATGAGTTTCGAATCTACAATGATGCTGCATCAGGGGGTTCTCTCTTGACAAAGAACCCAACTGAGGCAAAGGAGCTGATTGAGAAGATGGCGGCCAATGATAATTATCATCCAGGAGGTCGTCAAAATGTGAAAAAAGGAGGTAAGCTTGATGTAGATGCTTTGACTATGTTAGCCAGTTCTGTGCAGGCACTAACAAGCAGGTTTGATAAGTTCCAATCTGGAACTTCTACTAGCCCACTGGAGGTTTGTCAAATGTGCAATGTGCAGGGCCACATCGCACCGGATTGCTCGCAGAATATGAGTGAGATGTCTATTGAACAAGCCAATGCTTTCTACTCTTCGAACCCCAAACAGCCTTTTGATCCCTACTCCAATTCTTACAACGAAGGTTGGAAACAACATCCCAACTTCTCTTATAAGAACACCCAAGGACAACAGAATCCACCATCACAACCATCCCTATCCAACAACTACAACTCACCACCCTGTTTCCAACAAAGAACACCTATGAACCAACAACCAACGCAACTACTTTCCCAAAAATCTAGCCTTGAGTTGATGATGGAGAGCTTCATTACCACAACCAATAGTGCCATCCAACAACAAGGTAGCTCCATCCAACAGTTGCAAGCCCATAGTAAACTCATGGAAAGCCAAATAAGCCAACTTTCACAACAGGTGAGTCGCCTATCAACTCTTCAAGATCAAGCAAAGGTTCAAAAAGAACAATGCAATGCTGTTTTCTTGAGAAGAGATGAAGCCTTTCCGAGGCAAATTGTTGAGAAGGTGTGCAGTGAGGAGTCTAGGAAAGACAAAAAGGGCAAAGATGTTCAAAGCTCCAAATATGTGGCTCCACCGGCTTATGAGGAACCGATGCCTTTCCCGCAACGGTTGTCAAAAGCCGTGCTCGATAGACATTTTGGCAAATATTGTGACGCCCTCAAGAAGGTACACGCTTCTACTCCCTATTCTGATCTTTTAGTTCAAATGCCTCAATTTGCAAATTTTGTAAAGAATATTAAAGATCAACATGAGGATAAGGAAGTAGCACATAAGAAGGGCCCTACTCTCTTATATGATAACCTACCACCTAAGCTGCATGATCCTGGTAGTTTCACTATTCCCTGCACGATAAACGAGAAATTTTTCGATAAGGTTTTGTGCTACTTAGGTGCTAGTGTTAACTTAATGCCTTATTCATTGTATGAGAATTTAGGTTTGCAAGGACTTAAACCTTCCCCTATTTCTCTTCAAATGGCTGATTGAACCTCTAGACTCCCTAAGGGTGTGGTTGAAGATGTATTAATTAAGGTTGGTGAACTTATTTTTCCTATTGATTTTGATGTTATGGACATGAAAGTAGACCATAAGATCCCGATTATATTTGGTCGTCCATTCCTTGCCACAAGTCAAGCTCTAATAGATGTTCCTAAAGGATAAGTGACCATTAGGGCCCAGGATAAACAAGTCATATTCAAGCTCTTTGATGAACATAACTCTAAATTTGATGGTGGTACTTACTTAAGAATCAATGCTACTAACCCTTTTGTTGATAAGTATGTATTTGATAGAAATTTCGTGAGAAGCAAGGACAAAATTCCACCCAATGATGTGTTTGGCCGCATGAAGGTAAGTTCGGATACGAGGCAGGATAATTATAAAATGAAAGAGTCACTTGGAGGCAATCATTCCCATGGGCGACATTGCGGAGTTCCTCTTCCGTGTGGTGATCCCGGTTGAGCTAATGAGTATCAATATGGTCAAGCTAAAGACCTTGAAAAACAAGCGCTTTTCGGGAGGCAACCCGCTTTTCGTTTAATTTTTTTCAATTTTTTTCTATTTATTTATTTTTTTAGTTTTATCTGCCTTGGTGTCTATATGTCATTTTTGTGTTGTGTTTGTTATTTTTCAGAGAACATCGGTATATAGGAGGAGCGAGATAACGAGAGATTTCATCAAAAGTGGAAAACAGGCGTTTTGCTCGCTGCCCGGTCAGACCGGGCAAGGCCAGCCCGATCGGGCGCGAGCAATAACGTTGGAAGAATCAAGTGAAGATTGGGAAATCCTCTTCGCCCGATCAGACCGGGAATAACCAACCCGATTGGGCGCAAACAACAGCAAGTATTGACGATGATGGTGTTGACGACGATGATGATGATGGTACTGAGCTTGAGTTCGAGTGAGAACTCCGGTATTTCCTACTCCCCACTTGCTGCAATGAGGACATTGCCAAGTGTAGCTTGGGGGAAGTTTGTGCATAGTAGCTTAGGTATGTTCTCTGAGTTTTCATTGCTTTGGTTTGTTTGAATTTATTGCTTTTGGTGTGTTTTATTTGCTTTCATAGGTTAGTTTTAATTGCTTTGATTAGTATTTCAGAAAAAAAATAAAAATAAAACTTGAAAATACGAGAATCATGACAATTAATGACCATTGAACTACTTCCCTGTTCCCCTACCCTTAATGATAAAAAGGTTTTGCTCAATGTTGATTGAAAGGCTTGCATTGTAGACTAAAAGATCATGATTTGACCTTGAATTTGTTGATGCCTAACAGGAGTCAAAGTTATTTAACCATGTATGATTCAGGAGCTTGACTGTGTTAACCATGAGGCTTGAGCTTTATATATTCATTCTTGTGTGTGTTTAGTTCCTGGTGTAGCATTGATCTTAGTTTTGACTTTAGACTCTTAGTAGTGTGTCGTAATGCATTGCATGTGCACGTTGAAATGACGAAGACCATGTTCATTAGGTAGCCTCCAGACAAAATTAGAACATCAGTTCCCTTCTTGCTTACCCATGTTGTAGCTTGACTATATTTTTCATAAACTTCACAAAAAAATTACCCCTTGGCCCCAATTTGGTTACTTTTCCCAAGTCTAGCTTGGGGAGCTATATTATGCATTATTTTGTGTGATTTTAATTTCAAGTTGCAATTGATGAGAGGCATATGAAAAAAAAAGAGAGAAAGAAGGAAGACTAGCATGGAGGTTTGTTGAAAAAAAGAGAATAAATCAAAGAACAAGGAAAGAAAATCTTGTGCTTAAAATGAAAGAAAATGTCTTTGTTCTCGGAAAAAAAAAGAAAGAAAAAGAGAATAAAAATGTTGATGAAAAGAAAAAAAAATTGAATATAAGGAAGCTTGAAGTTAGAAAGAAATATGAAGAAGTAATGGGTGCTTTTATTGTAGTTGGGTATGTGTTTTGTTGATTGAAAAATGGTGAATCGAGGTGTGACTCATTGCATTAAATAGCTCCCCGATTAGACTAATATAGCCCACATTTCCCAAATTATTCCTACCCATTCTTATTCCCGGCCTACGTTACAAGCTTCATAAGTCCTTCCGATCTTCGTGCATAGCGTTGTGTTCATGTGAAACGAGTCTTTTGTCAAAATGCTGGAGTACATGTTGCATTTTGAGTCGACATTGACTAGGTTGAGCGATATTATAACCCTCTAAACACGCGATTGTTGTGAGATGGGGGGATTACATTGTTGGTGGGGATGGTCAGAGATCGAGCTCATTCTTAGCTCGCCACATAAAAAGTGGGTTGAGTGACCCCCGATGTAAGATACTCTACTCATCGATTCTTGAAATATACATGGTTGGTCTCGTTTGACGATTGATTAGGTGGATCAACGGTTTGAGTAATTTGATTGGTTGGCTAGGATGCATGCTTGTTTGATTTCGATTTTGAGTCGTGTTCTATATTTGCATTATGGGGTGGAGTATGTTGTTTGGTTGTTGATTATCGTTGATTGTCTTGCTTGAGGACAAGCAAGAGTTTATCTTGGGGGAATTTGATAGGTCCTATTTTGCACATGTTTTAGGTGGGTATCTAAGCTCATTTGATTACAAAATTAGAGATCTTTAGTGCAAATTTGAATTATTTGCTTAAGTTGTGCTCTACTACTCTTCGTTTGTGTGTTTTGATGAATTTCAGGTGATTTATATGCAAATGGAGTATGGTTGGCTAATCTTGAGTATAATAATCATGGATTATGAAAACATATTGCTTAAGAATATCAAAACATGTGTTCAAGACGAACTTGAGTGAAAATGAAGCAAAACGTTGATGAAATACTTGACAAATATGACACCTGTTCACTACTATGCTCATAACATTTGATATTCAAAATATAATGGAGTGATTCAAATTGCATTGGAAAGTAGACTTGAAGTCCTTTCCAACGATATATTACACGCCTGAAACGGAGCTCCGGATATGAAGTTATGACTGATTTAAGATGAGTTAAATACAAACTATTTGCTGCAGCCTCTACGTGCCCGATCGGGCATGGTCCGCCCGGTTGGACCGGGCACATAGGAGTTAGATGATTTTTGGTATTTTCGAAGGTAGCAAGCAATTTATGAAGACCGCCCCACGCGCCCGATCGGGCAAGGTCTGCCCGGTTGGACCGGGCACGTGGTGGAAGAAGTGCTACGAAGGAAAGCAACTCCGTACTCTCACCGCCCGATCGGGAGGTGCTTGCCCGGTTGGACCGGGCACAGTTATGCGACACTCCGTATTATTATTTTCTTATTTTTAGGTCATTAAGGGTATAAATACCCCTTGTAATCTTCATTAGAAAGGAGTTTTAATTTTTCCTTTAGTCCTCTTTCTCTCTCTAGAATTCTAATTTATCATTTTGAAGCAATTTTAATTCCTTGCACAAGATTTGAGCATTGTTCTTTAAAAATTTAATTCCTTTCAATTGAAGAATCCTTGGTATTCACTTCTACTTCATTCTCTTTCAATTATAATTGCTTTTCAATTATGTTTTCCATATTTATGATTGTTATTGTTTCTTTCAATATGTGTGAGTAGATTTTCTATTCCAAGATCTAGAGTAGCCCAATTATGATTGATGCATGAATTAAAACTCTAAATTCTCTAATGACTTTTACAATTTCTATGATAATTTGATTGTGATTATGCCAATACTAGGTTAGACGTAATCTTAGTATTGTGATTATTCCATTGTTTCTATCACAACGTGAGTTGGATTTAAACGGATTTGAGTAGATCAATTTAGGGTTTGATTTTCAACATGAGAATAGATCGGTTGATGATTGGGAAGTGAGAGTAATGTGTTTAATGTCTCTAATATGCATGATACCATGAGAATAGGCTTGATTGTATGTTAGGGAAGCCATTGATACTCGAGAGAGGTCCTTGGTATTGATTAGGGTTTACTTTTCCCCGTTCAATTGGAATTGTATGTTAGGGGTAGAAATATAATTGCATCATTCGTAATTGTGGTGATACTTGATCTTGGATGTTTTAATTATTTGATTTCTTCATATTCTTTAGTTTATTTTCGAATTTTCCATACATTAGTTCTTTAGTTAATCGATCATTGTTGAATTCTGCTTAGTAATTACTTGAGTCTAAATAGTTATTGGTGAACCATAGTCTCTTGGGATTCGACCCTTACTTGCCAGTCTACATAGTAGTAGTTAGTTAGGTTATTTTTGCTAGGTACGCGACACGCCTATCAACATGTGATTCAGGATTTATTGTCCAAGCAATGGTTCCCACTCATTTTTATGATTCGAGACCTTCTACTTGACAACTACAATCATTAACGTTCAACAACGAACTTTTCCATTTAACATCTTTCCTTATTATTGCCTTTAAGGCAACAATATTCTCAACATATATTTTAGTAGCCTCCCTGATGATGCCTTGCTTGGGTTTCACTCCATGCGACTCACAACGATTTGGGATACCCTAATCACTTGTGAGCATGGAAATTTTCCTTAAATTCCTGCGCATTATACATGGATGCACATCCATGTTACCATTCTCAAGCCACGACACTTCTTGCCTCGTGCTTATAAATGTCTTCCTTGCTAAGGATCTAATCCTTGTTAAGGTTTGTGCTTGCAACATCAAAACTCAAATTATATTTGTTTCCATGCGTCAAGAACTCATCCAACTACTTATCTAAGTTCTTTGGATGTTCTTGACTATAATCTAATGATCTAATACTTAGATTAATGTCGATTGGTTTTATATACGTACTTCACATGCTCTAAGCATTTAAGTCATCTGACGATTCCATATCATAGCTTTACATGATGGATTTAATTCTAGAATTATTCTCAATTTTATTCCATCCATGTAACATTTAGCTCATACAGTTACACTGAGTCTTTCCAAATTGTTCGCTATATGATGTGGTTGAAAGTCTCCTACTAGAGTCTTTCTCGTTTGACTTAGTACTTAGCCTAGCTTATACATAGGTCAAACATTTACTTAGCTT